CGGTGCCCCAGAACAGCCCTCAGGTTGGAGCCATTATCATCACAGTTCATCAGTGTCACTCTTCGAGCTGCTGAGTCTGGAGAGGAGTCCTTTGGTCTTGGGGTGGTTAGGGCAGGGGTGCTCTGAAGTTCACCTAATTGTGAGTGACCACGATGGATAATTGAGCAAACGGCCACTGTGTCCCCTGAGTAAGCCAGGCAACAGACTCCCCATCCAGGGCCAGTCCTTTGGAAACACACTAAAAGCCCTGAGGGTATTGTGGCTGTGGAACTTGCCCCTGGGCAAGGGCTCCCCAGAGCACCACTGCCTCCTCCGCCAGCTGCTGCCACCATCCTGGGTTTTGTTTCCAGTCAGGCCTTCTGGCTGAGCCCAGTCCCTCGGAGCTCTATCACCAACCCCTGTGAAGGTCACCACTGAACCCCAGAGGATGGAAAGGGAGTCACCCAGAGGTGGAGAGATTCTAAAGTCCTGGATTTTAGAATGGAAGAGTGTTTAGGAATACAGTGAAGCCCCAGCTTCTCTTTTCATTTAGCAATGAGAATCACAAGTTTGGAGAAGTTCAGTGCTTCTGTGGGTGTGGCCAGGTTGGCCTCCAACCCGGGCCAGAACCCAAGTTTCTGTATTGGCCTCCGCCCTTTTCTGCTCAACTGCCACTTGTGCCCAGGGGGAGGACTCCAGTGAGGTGACCATGCCCCTGTTGCTCCTACACAGGCTTCTGACCACTTGGCAGAGGATCAGACCTGTGCAGCTAGGCTTGTGCAGCTAGGAAGGTAGTGACAGGATGGGGCACCCCATGGAGGTGTCACCTGCACACAGCTGCTCTTCTTGCAGGACTGGGTCCCCCCAGGAAAGCTTTCTCCTCCACACTGTGCCTAGTAAGGTGGCATATGGTCTTGAGCAGGACTGGAGAACAGTTGCTGCTGGCCAGGGCAGAGACCCTGACCATCCTGGGACAGGCTTAACCATACTCTCACCTTCTTTCCCAGGAGCCAAGGGAAAGCATAATACAGGCTCAGGCAAGGATGTGGACAGGGGCCTTTCACTAGCATGGCACTCACAGATCTAGAGTCCTTCACTTCTTCCTTCCCCAAACTCTTGGTGTCCCTGTGGACTGGGATGCAGCATGGCTGGCTGCAGAGCAAGGATTTAGGTGCAGACCCCTTGAGTTTGGCTGGATTTCTGCATGATCTTGGGTTGATGCTCTCTAGGCCTCAGTTTCCTTATCTGTAACAATGAAAGAACACTGCTTTTTTTAAGGAATGGCTCAAGGATTGAGTTCATAAACTCTGTAGGGTGTCTGGCAAAGTGCCTGGCCCAGAAGCGACAAGTACACTATGGTCTTCACTGTGATCACTATTTATAGAGCAGCTTTTGGAGCACGTTCTTGAGGCAATTTGTAAACAACAGTCTTTCTGGTGAGCAGCTGGAAATGCTGCATTACCAGTAAGAACAGGAAGAGCAGACGGTGGTGGAAACACACAAGCCTCCACCACCACCCCGCCACCCAACAGAGCTGCAGGCCAGTGCTCCTCCCAGGGAAGGGTTGGAGTGGCTCACCTGGCCAAGGAGCCCAAACGTCCCCCTTCAATAGCCCCAGCCCCAGCCTGGTGACCTGCTCTACCATGAGATCTAACTGTGGGGTGCATCTGTGGCAAGAGAGATGAAGGAAGCACCGAAGGAGGGATGGCCAGTATGCTCATGGCACATGGCCACTGAGGGAGGGCTTCAGCAACCCTGGACAGCAGCCATGTGGTGTGTCACTGTCCTGTTTTTATAGGTGACAAGCCAATTCTTAGGCTAGAAGACTTGATCAGATGGAAGACATGATAACTATTGGGAGTCAGGTCTCAACTCTCCTGTCTTCCCTTGAAATCTCCCTTCTTCATCACAGCCATGCTGCTATACATACACACATCCATGTGTACACACACGTACACACATGTAAAGGCATATTCATACGTACAGATGCACATGCACACATGTGCACATGCACCTTATACACAAACACCAACACTGTGCATGCATGCACTGCATACATATGTGCACACACTTGGGTACACACACACATGCATACAAATACACATATACAAATACACATATGCATGTTACACATTCACACATGTACACATGACATAGACACATGCAAACATAGATTCAAAAGCACTTAACCTCATACATACACACATACATATATGCAAGTACATGCAGGGCGAGGGTCACACGGCCATGTGAAACACACACTGCCAAGTCCCAGGCCTGTACCCACTCCCTCTGGCTCCCAGGAGTCTTTAATGCATTGAGAGGTGGGTGCAGAGCAGAGGTCCATGCACAGGCACTGGGTTGAGGGTCAGACGCGCAGTGCAGTAAGCAGAGCCTTCATTTCCTCGAAGGAATTGAGGCAGAGGGCCTCAGCACAGGAAGACCTGGAACACCCCCCTTTTGTTTCCCAATGTCTCTTTTGCCATCATGACAACTAACTGTGGGCTGGTGTGGGAGTCAACCTTTCTCTCACAAGCTTTGGAATGAGTCACTTTGCAAAGAGCTTCTTGTGGAAATTACAAATGCTTTGTGTCACCTATGGGAACCCCAGTTCTAAGAAACCATGTGGAGTTCGTGTTTGTCTGTTGCCACTCTCCTCACTGTCAGGCAAGGAGTTCCATTCTATGTACGTGCTACACACATTTGTTCTGCATGCAGGTGTATACAGTTGGTGCAGCCTGGTGGGGACTCGGAGGTCCCTTCCATTTGCACCTCCAACCTCTCTGCTGACTGCTGCAGCCTTGCCTCTCCACCACCATCATGCTAGGGCAATTGTAGATTTGGACACTAACTCCAAGAGCCAGCACCCTGCGTGATGTTCTGGGGACATCTCTGTGCTTCCCCTGCTACCAAGGAAAGACTTCATTTGGGAATGGTTGGGCCGTGTCTTGAGGGAAAATCTCCTTGACTTCATTCTCCATAGGTCTTAGGGGGTTGTGTTACTCACAAGGGAATAAAAATCAGTACAATAAAACCATCTTTGATACCATCTTGTTTCTATGCTCTTTTCAAGTTTGGGTCTTTGGACATTTTTCTTGGAGACAAAAAAGTAGCTCACAATTTTTTAGTAGTAAACATCTACCCCAATGACTGCCATACATAGGAATTCAGTCACTTGAGAAGTATTCTTTGGCTGTGGCTCAGAGCTGAGGATGTATTGGTGATCCACACGAGCTCCATTCCTGCCCTTATGAAGCCTGCATTCCAGAAATGATAGGAAAAAAATCATAGATGTCATAAGCCAAAATTATAATGGAAGCAAGGCATGAAGCATCACTTGAACTTGATGGCCTGTCTTCACGCTTACATTTCAAAATATTGTTGAGCCACTGAGTAACTTGAATTTGAGGACTGAGGCTGAGTTTCTGCTCAGCAAGTCCCGATTTCACCTTCTGAATTTTCTGGCCCTTGCTGTACAAAGACTGCAGGCCCAGCAGGCAGCCTGCAATGGGAATGTGTCCTTGAAGACCTGAATCTCTGAGTTCTCCTCTGCTGATGGCAGGTGCGTGCTAGGTAGCAGAAAGGACATCCCCAGCCCGAAAAAGTTAGATTTTGCTGAAGCATTGTCTTAGAAAAGGACTATTAAAGTTAATATAATTAAATGGCTTGTTTTTCTTTAGAGACATAGAAAACAGCTATTTAAACACAATGCTTGTTTTTCTAAGTCTGGCTTCCAGTTGACATCAGTTGGTGGCTCATCCATCCATCCGCTGTGGAAGGCAGTGGAACACAAACACTCTGCCCTGGGTAGAAATGCTAAGTTAGGAAAAACATGGTCGCTCCCCTCGGAGCTCACAGTCCCTAAGATCAGAGGTGGGGACACTGGGCAGTTGCTGTGCATCGTCATCCAGTGCTGTGGTTGAGATGGGGTAGCCACCTCCACCCTCCACGAACAAGGGGAAGGAGTTAGTTTTCAGAGAAGAGATAGATGACCTGCAAACTACATCTTCATCTGAGTCTAGAGACACCGAAGGAGCTAACATCAGCCTCTCCGGAGTTTGTCCCACTGTGGCTCTTAGGAGTCTGGCCACATTATCCAGCCACCAACACACAACTACACCAACCCCTCTATCAAGTAAGCTGCTTAGGATTCAGTTTTGTGCAATCAGAGATTAAATTCCAAATTCACTGACACTGAAGATGAAACAGCTAATTATACACAGTAATTGCATTTAAAATACATGCCTTTGAATGACTGATGAAATCTTTCTTAAAGGCTCCTGAAACCCAGCACGCCAGCCAGCACAGTGGTGAAGGGATAATGTATTTTTAGCCTACTGGTGTGGGCGTAGCTCTCAGTCTTTCACCCAGTGCCTTCCCTCACAGTCAGCCTGTGCATTTAAAAGAGTACTTCTGGGGGCCACGGATTTAGCTCAGTGGTTCCGGTACCTGCCTCGAAATCGGAAGGTCCCGAGTTCGATCCCTGGTACCAAAAAAATAAAAAAATAAAAGAGTACTTCTGTTAACCTCTGTCGCTGCTTCCCAGTTAGTTGCTTGTGCGACTGAAGTGTATCACGGAGACAGAAGTGCACAGGCGTGTGTATGGATGTGTATCTTTAAGGAAAGAAGCTGAGACAGAAAAAAAAGAAGAAACTAGGATGGGGAAGCGGAGGATGGGGAGGAGAAGGAGAAGTAACAATGATTAAGATGCAATACGTGTATGTACCAGTTCCCCAAGATGATTGTTATTACCACGTATCAGAGCACATACCAATAAAAAATATGTAAAATAAAATACTAGAGATGAAAAAAAGAAAGAAAAGGAATAAATATTCTGAAGTATTAGAAATAGTAAGATAATATATATGGAGAGTTAAGATAGCACGTAATATAGAGTGAGTATATTTTCTGGTATGATAATGTGAATTGATAATGATCATATAATTGTATAAAACATTATAGTACTTTTTATTTTTAGAAGTTTCCTACATATTCTTCAATCAATGTGAAATTTTGTGACTTCTAGTGCTTTAAACATACACTTGAGACTGGCCAGCATTCTCACTCATCCCTTCGGTCGCTGGGAATGAAGTGTCCTCAGTCATTAGGCTGTTCCCAGACTCTGCCCACCGCTCACGGTGAATCCTGGGAAAGGAAACAAGGGTGCCGGGCCCCACCACAGCTCAAGGAACGGCTGGGTTTGGAGAACGTGCTGTGTACTTTTCTCCCAACTTGATTGCTAGTTGAGGCTCCTGGAATCGTTTCAACTGGATGAAAAACGAAGGAAGTTATGTCAGATGAAGCATTCCACTGTGTGTTGCTTTACAGAATCACTTCCCCTGGATAATTTATAAAAGATTGGCAGGAAGAATGTCCCTGAAATAATTAACACACAGTTTTAAAATGGGAACTTTTATTTCCCTCATTGTTCAGTCAAACCAAGCACCTAGTTGTTGCCACTGGACCATTTTTGACAGAGATGGAGGTGGCAGAGAGCAATGGCAAAGCTGGTTCTTGATAAAACAGTATATAGGGCCCGGGATGTAGCTCAGTGGCGCCGCACCTGCCTGGCAAGCATAAGGTCCTGAGTTTTTGATCCCCGGAACTGCCAAAAAAACCAAAAAAAAAAAAAAAAACCCCAAAACACAATGTATGTCTAATTGCTGGTTCTCCCCAGCTTGAAACACCAAAGCGTACCTACCCTCTGGTGACCACTGCAGAGGCCCTGCCCACTGGGAAGGGCTCCTTTTCAGAGCTGCCTGCTCCACATGCTGGTTTCAGTTCTGCATGGCTCTTTAACTAGGCAAAGTTTCCAGTTTGGAGGCAAATCAGCCACTCAGGCAGTGCAAATCCAAGTGGCATAAGGGGGTTTTAAAAATAAAATGGTGAAGAAATATTTCCAGGGATTCTGCTAAGAATTCTAAATCCTGTTTGGTAAAAAAACACTTAGAGCCCACAGCCTTGAACCCTGTAAACTAACCTGAGAACAATAAACTCATGTGTTCATCAATCAAATGCCACCCTGATTGGTAAGCCCTCTTTCTCCCGGATATTTGTGTCTTTGAATTAATTTTCTTCCTTTCTGCAACTGTCCCTTCATACTTTACTCCAGCAGAATGTTTTCTGACCCAACCATCCTGCTAATATAAATTGCAACTCTACTATATACTTCTGATAATCCCATGAATACTGAAAATATAACTCTGGCACTAATTAGATGTGGGACTTCTTGCCAGCCACTCCCAAACTCTGAGCTCTCATTTTCCCAGCTGTGAGAGAGATGCCTTGGCTGGCCCATCCCAGGGGCTCTCACATGTCCTGTGGTGCTGAAGCTGCCAGGCTGGCTCTGGGTGGGACTGCTCACAAACTTGTGGAGGGAACTGAGGGCCCCTGGCTCTTCCTCTGGAGATGTTGCCTCTTCCCTTGGTGCCCTCTTCCTTCCTTCTCCATCTCTCCTCCAACTCAACCTAGGAGAGCTCATGGGTCAACACCCGAGCCTAAAAGCTGAAATCCACAGGCCACCTGGCCAGAGGCCCTATGGAACACAGCCCATCCTCTCAGTGGGGAGTCTGGACCGCCACTCAGTCACCTTGAGCTTGACCTGTACCTGGGACAAAATACTTGACACTCACAACTTAAAAGAGGAGAGGTTTATTTTGGCTCACGATTTTATTGGGTTCAGTCCATGCACGGTTGGCTCCAAGGCAGAAACAGCATGGCCCAAGAGCCTGGGGGAGGAAAATTGCTCAAATCATGGGATCCTGGAAGCAGTGAGAGACACGAAAGAGCCAGAGCAAGAGACAGACCCTCCAAAGGCATGCCCTCAGTGAACTACTTCCTCCAACCAGGCCCCACCGCCTAAGAACACTCAGCCTTGAACTCATCAATGGATGAATCCACTGACACAGTACAGTACACCCGTGATACAATTGCCTTGCAAAGACCCACCTCTGAACAGATGAAATGGGGGGGCGGGCAATTCAGATCTAAATTATAACACTCTATACAAAGCCCCCACCAACCCTAGGGAACCCCATTCTGGCAAGAAAGGACTCTACTTTCCGAGATGAAAATTGGTCGAAGTGAGACATTTCCTTAAAAACTTGTGTTTTACAAACAAATGCAGTTGGACCAGTGTATAAATGGAAGCTCTAGGCACTGTGTGTACAAACAGAATAAAAGAGGTACGTGTGTGAAAAAAAACCTTGTGTTTTATCTTAAAAGTTCATAGAAAGTTTGCATTCCACTCCATACTATACCAATTGTTTCAATAAAAATATGCTGTTAAAAAAAATAGGAAAATCAATCTACAAGCAGAGCTGAGGCCCAGGAAAACATAGTGTTCAGTCCTTCACTTGGAGCATTCCAAGAGCCCCCTACGCCTGCTCTGCCCCACTCCTCCCAGCCCTGCCTCTTAGAACATTCTTCACAGTCTGAGAAGGCTGGAACACATGCAGCAATTGTTTATGCAGCACAATAAAAGATTGATTGCATTTCTTGGGCTCCCTAAAGTCCTCCCTCTTCCTCTTCCTATATAGATACATTTTATATGCACTTAGTAATATATGTGCTGTGTGGTGTGTGTGTGTGTGTGTGTGTGTGTGTGTGTGTATGTGTGTGTTACTGGAGATTGATCCTAGGGCCTTCTCATTGATTTATATCCCCAGCCCTTTCTAAAATTTTTTTATTTTGAGACAGGGCCTCTCTCGCTAAGTTGCAAAGTTGCCCAGGCTGGTCCTGAACTTGTGATTCTCCTGCCTCAGCCTCCCCGAGTGCTGGGATTATAGCCATGTGCCACCACACCTGACTTGCATTTTCATGAGCTTTTGAAGTCAGCAAGGTCGGGGTGGGGTACAGAGGGGTATGTGGAAGCCGTGGCTCCTTCCAGGGCATGCAGGTGAGAGGCTGGGCCTTGATGGGTACTCAGTGCCCCTCTCAGCAATTCAGACCCATCCTAATCAGGAATCTGGGGTCTTCTGCTAGGCGGCTGCTAGCACGGGTCAACTTTTAAATATGCTGAAAACTGCTCTTTTCAGTCCTAGGATTGTACCTCATTGTCTCACAACTGCCATGGGTAATTTCTTGTGCGTATGACTATCCTATCACATAGTGGACAGGAGAAAGAAGGGGAGCTGCTGCCCTCCTGGCCAAGGTGCCAGGGAGGTCCTGGGCACAGTGGGCACACTGGGAGGCAGTGACCCATCCAGGGCAGGGGGCTGTGCCAGTCAGGTACAGGACAGTGTGAAATGGGTATTTCAGATCAGAACCCAGTGCGGCCTTCAGCTGACCCTGCACCCTTAGCACCCCATGCAGCAGGATGCCAATAAAAGACCCGCCCCTCCAGGGGTGTGGTTGCTCTTGAGCCAATTTGAGGTAGCAGGACACAGTGCTCTTATTGCAGGAATGGGAAGAGAGTCCTATTAGCATGCATAAACCCCTGGGATCCTGGAAAATCAGTGCTCGGAGGTGCTGGTAATGGCTGGGTCCCCTCTGCACAATCTCCAGGCACCAGCACGTAACTTAGTGCTGAGTTCAAGGGGCATGCATTGCACCAGACTGCCAGGGAAAGGGGCTGGGGCTGGAAGGGTGGCAATTTTTTTAAAAAGTCTTTTTCTGTGTATTCATTTGATCAACCAATACAAATTGAGTGCCAGAATATGCTCCCAGCAGCGGGTTAAAGTCTCCTTGGGTTCAGGGAGAGTCCGGGAAGGAGGAACAAGCCCTCAGATGGGAGGGAGGAGCACTGGGGACCTGCAAGATCTAGCAGGATCTGGGTACAGGTGGACATAAAACTATTTTGTGGAATAAATGAATAAGCAAATGAAAAGGGACAATACCCAGAAAGCCCAAAGTTGGTAGAAGGATAGATCCAGTCCAGTTGTGGCAGAGAAGCTGTAAGAAACTCTGTGTGGCAGGGAGGAGAAAGCTGGTGCTCAGACATCCGGGGAGTGGGGAGGGGGCTGCCAAGTACCTTTCACCAGATACCCTCCGACCCTAACACGCAGGTCCCATTTCAACAGTCATTGTGAGTTTCTATTTCTTTCAGTGAAAACATTCCTCACCAATACACTCACCTTCTTCCATTCCATCGTCCAAGTAGTCCCACAAGGTTAGTCCTTTGCCAGCTCCCTGGGTCTCAGGAAAGGAGCGAGGCTCTGAGAGACAGCGGCCACACATTACCCACTACTAAGTCACTGATCCTCAATTCAAATTCGGATTTGATGCCGAAGCCCAGGAGCCTCAGCCCTCTCCTCTCTACTACCCCATACTCATTTCCCGGGGTGCCAGTAACGATGGACCACATACCTGGTGCCTCTGAACAACAGAAGTCTGTGGTCCCACAGTTCAGGAGGCTGGAAGCTGAGATCAGGGTGTCGCAGGGCCATCTCCCTCAGAAACCTCCAGAGACAATCCTCTTCCTCCCTCTGGCAACACCAGCCAGCCTCAGCGCTCCTTGGCTCTGGGTGGCAGCACTTTGGGCTCTTCCTGACGCCCCACGACTTTCTCCTCCCAGTCTGTCTCGAGCCTGTTCTTCAGTAAGGACATGTCACAGTGGTGGGGCCCTCCCCACTCCGGTGTGGCCTCCCCTGCCCTGACTGGCCCTACAGAGACCTCCTCCCACATGCAAAGGGTGGTCGAAACATATGGTGAAAGACATGTATTGCAGTAAAAGCCCTTAATCCCTCTCAAAATACCCCTCATCACTTCAAACACACTTATCGCATTGCTCTTACCACTTTTTAAAGCAGGTCTGTAAGTCCTCCTTCATGAGTGTCTTTACAAGGTGTGATCAAAACTCAGGTGAGTGCTGCTGTCCAATGCCATCTATCAGAAAGGCAGGCTCATTAAAACATTACAGTGTGGGCCGGGGATTTAGCTCAGTGGTGCTGCCACCTGCCTCGCAAGCGCAAGGTCCTGAGTTTGATCCCTGGTACTGCCAAAAAAAAAAAAAAAAATTACAGCATGTCTCATTACCCTTATTCACCAGATCCGGCATCTTGTGACTTCTGACTCTTCCCCAAAGTCGAAGTGATGGTAAAATGTAAAAATTTTTAATCTATTCAGGACATTAAGGCAGCCAACACAACACAACTAAAGACATTCACGAAAGAGGACTTCCAGAACTGCTTCAGAAAGTGGCAAGAATGATGGGATGAGTGTGTAGAGTGAGGCGAAGTATTTTGAGAGGGACTAATGGCAATGTGTCTTTTACAGTAATAATTTCTTTAATTTAAATATTCACCATATTTTTCAGTCATAAGCAAATTTACAGAGTCTGGTGCTAGGACTTCAGCAGGATACAACTTGACCCACACACACCTCTAGAAGATGAAATCTGACTGAGCAGAGAAATGAGATGAGAGATTTATCTATCACCCGATCCAGGAAGCAAGGAGGAGACACTCATATCTCGCCCCCCCCCGCCCTTTCACACAAACACACACACACACACATGCAACTTTCTCTAAAGTTAGGATGTGCAGGTGACATGGGAGAAAGTTCACAGAAAATAAGGCAAATTTGAGAGAGGTTAGCAAAAAGGAAGCATTTACATCTTTGATGAGCTTACTGAACCAGAACATAAAAAAATAACAAGGTCAGGCACAGTGAGGGGTGAGAGGCAAAGAGGAGCCAAGGACGGGCTTGGAGCAACCAGTCGGGTTGGCTGTGCATTCTCCCCACCACGGGATGGGCAAGAACGGGGTGGTTCCTAGGAAGTTTCCAACAGAGCTGCATGTCTCTCTATTCAGGTGCCTGCTCCACATGTTTTTTTCTCCTGTTGACTGTTAAACATCTTTGGATGATGCTAAACAATGACTGCCTTAAGACTTATAAGGAGCAAGGTTTTGGCTTGCACCTTATTCTTGGACATCAGTAGTAAATTGTTTTAAATGAACATCCTTTGGGAAGAGTTAGAATTAGCCAAGCAGGGAATGGAAAAATGGCTAGGGTCTTTAACTAATTGTTCTAAACACTGCTAGAGAATTGAGTGAATCTCTGGAAACTGTTAGCAAGCAATCATCACCAAAATATCCTTACTATTTAAATTAATGGAGCTGGCTCAATGTCCACCACCTTCATGATCATCATGGTCAGTTTAGTCTCAGGAAAACAACAGGATAATCAGGTGCGGTGGCCCATCCCAGCCATCCCAGGACTATGATAAGGGGGTGAAGCAGGAAGATCTCAAGTTCCAAGTGCTCGGGATTTAGCTCAGTGGCACTGCACCTGCCTCACAAGCAGAAGGTCCTGAGTTCATCCCTGGTACCAAAAAAAAAGGAGGATGTCAACCTCCAGGCCAGTCTGAGAAACTGTCTCAAAACAAAAAATTAAAAAAAGCTTGGGGATGTAGCTCAGTGCAAAGACCCTGAGTTCAATCCCCAGTACTGCAAAAAAGAAAACAACCAGGAAACAGGAAAAGAAACCCGTGACAGTGTGGAATGTCAAGTCACCAGAGCTTGGAGGTCTACAATATTGTAAGGGACACAATCCAGGGGCTCCAGAAATCATGCGTATGTGCTGTGACATTTTGGATTATCCACTTAAATGAAACATCTTCCTACCCACAAATCTCCTCTCCCTTCACCTTCCTGACATTAATACCACCATTCCCCAAGTTGTCCTCCTTGGGTTACAGGGCCCATGAACCACTCCCTATAGCCCAGATGCTCTGACTTTTGTTCTGTTTTGTTTGGTACTGGGGATTGAACTCAGGACCTTGCGCTTGGGAGGCAGGCAGCAGCATCACTGAGCTAAATCCCCGGCAGATGCTCTGACTTTGGAAGGCACCCCGGTGATGCAGACAAAGAGTGCTGTGACTCCAACCTTATATCACACGTTTCCATGCCTCACTTCCATTAAGGCACCTTTGTAGCAAAGCTGGGTGCAGAAATGGTTCTCACATCAGACAGCCTGTCAGCACTTCCCATAAGTAAGCTGCACTTTAACTGTTCAGAACACCAAATCCCGCACTTGGTTTTCCCTACACAACCTCAGTCCCAGGGTGGCGTATGTATTTAGACTTCCACCATGAAGGGAAAGGAGAAAATAAGAACATAGGGGGACCATGCTTTTTAAGTGATGTAACTCATAGCAGCAGCACACATGGGTGGATAAGTGGCTCTCGTTCTCTCTCTAAATATGAGACAATACATTTAGAGAAGAGGCAGCTATTCATTAATCACAGCCTGATTACCCAGTCTGGACTGGTCCAGGCTCTGTCTTTTCTCTATTCCTTCTCCCCAGCCTTGGGGATGTTGGGACCACATAGCCAGCCAGGAAGGGAAGAGAGTGGTCACTCTGTCACGTAGCAGTCATACCTGAATTTCTGCAAGGTCTTTGGGTATTCACTGTGCCTGGTTTCTTCATCATTCCCCCAATTCCACTCATTAAACTGGATCATTTCAGGCTGGATGTGTAGAGCAGCTTAATGATTTTAAAACAAAGCAAAGCATTCTCTACCTGGCCATGCCATTTGTAGGACGTTTCCTTGCCCTTCCTCCTCTCTCCTGGCAGTGTGTGTGTGCATGCACAAGCGTGTGTGATCTATCATAGACTCTGCACATAAACACATAGCCCTGGGGAGGCACACAAGTAAGTGAGCCTGGTGGGTATAAGGTATAGGCCAAGGTATAAGGTCCTATACAGCCCCAAATGGTTCCCAAAATGCTACACAATGAGATGTTTCTCAAAAGGGCCTGGGTACCATCAGTATTTTACAGGAATTCTAACTCAAACAGCTTTACACAGCCATTATCACTTAATTACCAGCATAAATCTTGCTAGCAACTTCCATAACTTCATTTGCAAATGAACACACACACCTCCTAAATCACGCCCTCTTTTCTCTCTTCCCTAGATTAGTCCCAGGCTGGGATTTGCAGAGACCTTATTCCCAAGTGGTCCCAGGCTGGTCGATGGTTGTCTCCTGCTCCCTCAAGCCTGCCTGCAGGTCTGCCAACCCTGGGACACCCCCACACCCAGCCAGACGGTGACTGGCTTGCTTGAAAGGTTCAAGACCTCGGTTTCTGGTATGCAGTGAAAACCAAAACCTGGTTTTGGTTTTCCTGGCCAAGTTCCCAAGGAGCCAGTGGGATCAGAGACAGCTAAAGGGCAAGGACAAGGGATACCCAGCGCAAACAGGATGTAGGTCGGGGCCTCAGGTCTGGCTCTGGCTCTGCCTCCTACTTGCTGTGAGTCCCCAGACTTGTCACCTGCCCAGTGCTCTCTGGGATGTGGTGGGCGCCAGGCTAAACAGCGTTCCTGAACATTTTCCTGCTGGTTTTTCTCCAGTTTTTCCCTTAGCACTGGACTAAGAGACAAACTGAGTCTGGACCAATTCCTTAGGGTCCCCTATGGCCTTTCACAGGCTTAAAATAATATGCACTGGCCCCATTTTTACAGAACAGATTAACAAAATCTATTGTATTTATGTCAAGGCCTCTGTCTGAATTCTGAAATCTTCCTCTTCTTTTTAGCTTTCAACATACAGAGAATGCAGTAAGGGGTTCACGAATTATTTAGAGGGTTCATCTAAATATCTAAATGCCCTCCCAGGTCCCTTCAAACTCCACGAGGTTCTATGAGTCACTGAAATGCTTGAGTGAGGACAGACAAACCCAGTCGCCAAACTCAAACACACCTGGCTCCACCTCTTCACACACACATTTACTAGCTGTGTGACTGCTTAACCTCTCTGAGCCTAGGTTCGTTCCTCACCTGAAAACCTGGGCTGATGCCAAATGCCAAGTTACTTCCATGAGTACTGAGCAAAAAACTATTTATATAAATAGGAGGTGACAAAGTAACTTGGATGCTAGGTTCCTTTTTTTTTTTAACATACAAGCCTCTGATGGGTCAAAGATGTAAGCCATAATAAATTTGAATATTGCTCTTTCTGTCTTCACTTCCTGGGTCATAATTCAAAGTAGGGGACAAGGAAATTTTACTCTTAGCAGAACGCAGAAAGGATACAGCTATTAGCAAATGTACTAATTGGAGTCACGTTTACATTCCCATTGTCAACTGGAAACATTTACTGATGTAAAGGAAATCCACCCCCCCCACTAGGGATGAAACCCGTAGGTTCCGTACCACTGAGCAACATTCCTGTTGCAACTGGAAATAAGAATGGGCGCTCATTGCCCAAATTTGGACACCTTGGTCTTGTCCTGGTGTCTGTGTGAAGCACCCAGGTCTGCGATGGGGGGGGGGGGGGCACTGCTGGCTGCGAGCGCCGATGCCCTGGGGTGACCCTGCGCTCCTTCTCCACTCCGCACTGCATTTCTGGGGGGTTAGTTCACTGCATGGGTGGCCTGAGTCCCTGGCCTCCGGCCTCATGGCTCCTTCCAGCGCTCTGGGCAAGCAGTAACCACTCCAGATGCAAGACTTTCTTTCATGCCCCAGTGGTCTGAGCAACCCATTAACACTCTAGGGTTGAGGTTTGAAATTACGTAAAAATCTCACATCCCACTGAACTAGCAGCCCGAGTGCCGGAAGAAGCATGTCCGCCAGGAACGCGGCGGTCACAAACAGTCCTGAGATGCCTCCCACCCCAACGACTGCTCCCAGAAACACGAAGCCCTGCGCCCCACGAGGAGAAGTGACCAGGCGGGACTGCAGGGAGTGGAGCCTCTGCAGACCCGGGGTGCGCTGCAGACGTGTCTCCCGGAGGGCGGAGAGCAAAGTACAGCTGCGCAGTGTGTCACACGCGTCTCCAGAGAGGAGCTTTCTCGGGTGCAGAGGCCTGGCAGGGCGCTGGGCCCAAGACGCGGCAACACCTTTCCCGAGGCCCCGCCCCGCGTACCTGCACTGCGGGCTCCGGACGCCATCTGGTGGCCATAAGCTGCCATTGCAGCGCATCCGGACTCCCACCCATGGATGGAGAAATCAGAGGAGCCCACGGTGGGCTTCTAAATTGTTGGAAAAGATAGCAGATCCCCAAAGGAAGACACTGAGTCCCGCCAGATGCTCTGAATTCCATTTCTTATTCTATGGAGAGATGCTTGCCGCCTGAGGTTCTCCGAAACGGAGACAATCGTCCTTCAAGACCAGCCTTCATGTGACAGCTCTCAGCAGCCCCCCCAGCCCACTCCGTGACCGGATGGCCCCGTGACCTGATGACCCTGCCTGGAGCTCACCTGTGTTCTCTCCGCCAGCCTTCCCAGGGCTCCGTCCCCGGGCACTTTCACGTCCTCAGAATATCCGCCTCACAGTCTTCATGCCAGTGTTCTAGAGTGTGTTCCTAGCTTACTGTTTTATTCATCAGCATTGCATCTTTAAAAGGCACTCAAAGTTTAGGGGATTCAGGTCAAAACAGATCTGTTTGCAGCACATCTCAAGAGCTTCTGACACACAGAAGGCACCATGGGTTTCTAAGAAGGAATGATGATTTGCTATCATTTCCAAGCTATCTGACATTAAACCTGTTCCCCATCTCCACCTTTGAAGTACAGCTTGAAGATACTGCATTCAATAAAAAAAACTTTAGGGGAAAATTGGTCTACCCTACTCATTTGAGCCAGGATTACATAGCTGTCTTCTCCAAACTAGACATCTAGATTGGTCTTTGCCGGCTGCTGTAACAAACTGCCAGCCAGAGTGCTTTAAACAGCACAAGCAAATTTACTCACAGTTCTGGAAGCTAGAAGTCTGAGGTCAAGGTGTTCTCAAATTTGGTGTCTTCTGGGGCCTCTCTCCTTGGCTCCTGGCCAAGTCTTTACTGGTCTTTCCTCCGTGACTGTTCCCTGATCTTTACTTCTTCTGAGGACACCAGTGCTACTGGGTTAGGCCCTGCTGTGATGACCTCATTTTACTTTAATCACCTCATTTAATCTACTTTTACTACTACCTCTTTTAATTTACTTTTAATCACCCTATATCCCATTACAGTCATCTTCTGAGGTAGTAGAAGTTAGGGCTGAAGCATATGAATTTGGGAGAGACACAATTCAGCCCATAACAACATCTTACTTTTGGATTTCCTGGTACTTCAGTGGAAAATTACCCATTGTTTAGAGCACGGTAGGCAAACTACAGCCATTGTGTGAGATCCAGCCTGGTAACTGTGTTTGTAAATAAAGTTTTATTGGCACAGCTACATATATTCCTTCATATATTGTCTGTAGTTACTTTCATGTTCAGTGGCAGCGTTAAGGAGTGATAACAAAAGCCATATGGCCTGCAAAGCTGGAAATACTAAATAGCCCTTGATGGAAAATTTTGTGGGCCCCTTGTCTAGGGCAACCTTTCAGGGTTATCTAATTGGGACCCTAAACAGGCTCTGCACCTGTCATTACCTCTGAGCCATTTCACAATGGAGATGGTGGAGGCCAGTGCCAAGTAATCCTTCCCCATAGACAAGAAGCCAGTTTTGCCTGTTTGCTCATTCTTTCCAACATCTTCATCAATAAAATTCTCTTCCTCAGATTCTATTTTAAACTGATTACAAGATTTTAGGTTCCCTCATTAATAATGAGAATTATTTTAGATCTGTGTAAGAGTCAAAATTTTACCTTGTTTTGAAAATTATCCTTCAACCCATCAATGTTAGATTTTTTAATAAGTCTGATAATAGCACTGAAATTATGACGAACAATGTTTTTTCTTTTAGAAAAGACATCTTGAAACACTTAGTGTCATGATACCACAATTTACTTTCCAGCACTTCAGTAAGCATCACTATGTGAGTGTGTATGTGTTTGTCTACAGGCTCACACATGCACCATAGCTAGAGGGACAGAGACAGAAAGAGAGGGAAAGATAATAAAATATGAACAACTAGGGAATCTAGGTGAAGGCCCTGAGGTGTCAATGAATGGTGGACTATTCATTCAGCTTTTCTGTAGGTTTGACAGTTTTCAAAATAAAAATAGTGTGGGCTAAACTTGTGTTATATTCCTGACTGGGCACACAGCTGTTCTACATCCTGTGCTTCTGGATATTTCTTCAGTACTTAAGGAAGTAACAGTTACAGATGTTTGTTAGCCCTTTGACTTTTTTAGTGGGTACTACAGATAAAAGTAAATGAAGTATTAGTGTTGCTATTGTAAAGTGTCTCTGTTCCTCTTAGGGGCATTATTTTTCCTGTGCTAAACCTGGGGCCTTGCACATGCTAGGCAAGTGCTCCACCACTGAGCTACAGTCATCCCTTTTTCTAGAGCTCTTAATGGTACCAAATGAACAAGATTTTAAGACAGAATTTTTCTTAAAAGTATGTATCTCACAATCCCAAAGAAATAACTTTTAAAAAGTAAATCATACCAGGGGTGGTGGTGCATGCCTGTAATCCCAGCACCCTGGGAGGCTGGGGCAGGAGGATCACAATTTCAAGCCCAGACTAGACAACTTAAGTGATTTAGCAAGACCTTGTTTCAAAATAAAAAAGGTTGAGGCTCTGACTCTTTGCAAAGGCCCTACGTTCAATCTCCAGTACTGCAATAAATAAATAAACAAACAAACAAATCTATCTCTTGAGATAAACCCTGGATTTGAAATCTGCATAAAGGCTGCTCATTTTCAGCTTGCACTTCATAATGTGTTTAAGATGGGAACTGGCGTTCATACCCCTCAATTCCTGCCTGAGGCTTGACATCGTGGTCTTCACAGTCAGGGACCCCATGAATTGCTACCTGACTGCCCCAGAGCCGGGATTGGAGGGTGAGGTTGTGGGCACATTAGAGGTGTGCTGGCCTGGTGCCCATGAAGGAAGGAAGTGAGCTAACTCTCAAGCACTGTGTGTCATTTAGCATAAAGGTTTAGGATTGAAATGTTCTGCCTGAGGGAAGCTGAAAAAAATGAGTTTTTACAGGATGCTGCCTATAAGGACACACTAAAAATAGCTGCAGGGACTGAGCCTCCTAGAGGCCTCTCAGGTGGCCGCACGGGAGTTCCCGATGAGAGAATCTGTCCTTCCAAGATGCTGCTGCCACACAGGCAGGGAGCTGGCCCTGGATGGCCAGGAAGTAAGGCTGGAGCAGGGAAATGCTCCTGAAGGGTGGGGCCCCTGGGAAAGGAGACCAGGCACAGTGTGCACTCAGAGGCCAGAGCACTCTGAAATCAAGCTCAACTAACAGCCAAGGACCTTGGCCACCAGTAGGACTGTCTTAGTTACTTTCCCCATTCCTAAGACAAAACACCCGACATCCAAAGTTAAGGGAAGTAAGGTTTATTTAGCTCGCAGTTTGTAGAGGTTTCAGTCCATAATCAGCTGGCTCCAAGACAGGGTGGCAGACAGAAGAGAAACAGCTCTTCTGCAATAGAGCAATAAAAAAGCAACAAGAGACAAAACAAGCTTCTTTCTGTCCCTTATATTGTATCCAGGCTATGGGGATTAGGACGGTGCCAAACCAATCAGTGGACTGATTTAGTAATCACCCACCCTTACTCCCAGCATCACACACTCTAGATCCAGCCTCCTCTGAAAAAGCCCCACCTATGACTGCATGAGGAACATCTAGAACCAAACCATAACAAGGACTAAACTTAAAGACAGTGTCCGTACTTCCCACCCTCAATCCGATTGCACACTGTGTTTCTTTCTTACCTGGGCCGTTGCCCCAGTCTCTCCAGCCCCACTCCAGCTTCCCATAGGATCCATCCTCCATTGAGAGTCCAGAGCAACTTTTCTGTAGCCCAATTCAGTTCAGGTCATTCTATTCTTAATTTTTATGAAAGATACATTTGTTACAATACAATTGCATTGTATCTTTTTTTTTTTTTAATACTAGAGATTGAACCCAGACCCCTGCACATGCTTGGCAAGCACTCTACCACAGAGCTACATCCTCTGGCTTTCATTTATTTTTTCAGTACTGGGGATTAAACCAAAGGCCTTTTTTTTTTTTAAACCAAAAGCCTTTTCACTGAGTTACATCCCCAGACCCTTTTTTAATTTTTATTTTGAGAGAGACTCTTGCTAAATCACTAAGTTGCCAAGGCTGAACTCAAATTTGGCAATCTCCTGCCTCACCCTTCCACACTGCTGGATTATTACAGATATGCACTGCTACAGCCAGCTTAATTTAACTTCTAACACAGCAAATAATCAACCGATTAACCCAACAAGCAAGTAAGCAAACAAAAACTTGAATGGTTCTCCATCTTTTACTTCATTTATCTAAACCCCTTACCCAGCGCTATTAACTAGTCCTCTCAAACTGTATCAACCAACTCTTTTCCATCTTCTAACCAGCCACTCCTGTCAAAGCTGCACAAAGAGAGGAGTCTTCTTGTCTCATTGGGGTGGCAGAGACTATATCAGATTTGTGTTTCTAAAGCCCCATTATGCTTGGCAGTGTCATTCTCAGAATGGGAGATCAAGAAACAACCTTCCAAAGCTGGGTGTGGTACAGGTGCACACCTGTGATCCCAGCACTCAGGAGCCTGAGGCAGGAGGATCGCTGCAAGTTTGAGGCCAGCCTGGGCTACTTAGTGAGTTTAAAGCTGGCCTGAACTAATATAATAGAAAGACCCTGTAAGAAACAGCCTTTGAGAGTGTGTGCTACAAACAAGGATGGAAAGCAGGGACTCAGACAGGTGTCTGCACTCCTGCTTCACAGCAATATTGTCCACAAGAGCCAGAAGGTGGGAGCTGCGCAAGTGTCCGATGCCAGAAGAATGCATTAGGATAATTTGGTGAACACACAGTGAAATACTGCCTGGCCTGAAGAGGAAGGAAATTCTGACACCTGCTACACCATGCACGACCTTTAAGGACCGTGCTTAAAGGTTCATCAGCTTTCGGTCACTGTGACCAAATACCGGCTATCCATCGACTTTAGGGAGGAAAGGTTCTTCTGGGCTCAAGGTTTGAGAGCTTCCAGTCTGTGGTCTGCAGGCTCCATTGCCTCAGCCTTTGGCGAGGCAGAAGCTTCCGGCGGAAGGGGCGGAGCGGAGGCCGTGCACCGCGTAGCCCAGAGGGAAGGGAGAGACAGGGGAAGGGGAAGTGGACCCGGTACCTCTGCCGCCTGCCCTGCACCTGCCTCCTCCAACCAGCACCCCCACAGCGCCTGCAACTGCAGAGGAATCCGCTGAGAGTTCAGCGCCTTCGCGCCATCGGTCCCCTCAGAAAGCCCCGCCTCTGAACACGCGCACCTTCCGAGGAATTTTTGATCCAAGCCATAACAAGGACTTTATCCTAAGAAAGATAAGCCAGTCACAAAAGGACACGTATTCTGTTTTTCCACTTCTATGAGAGCCAAATTCACAGAAGCAGAAAGTGGTCAGGGCTGGGTTGGGGTGGGGAGGCAGTGTCAGAAAAGTCCGGGCCTCGGATTCCCAGGTGGTGGCACATGGTGTGACCATACTCGATGCTACTGAGCTGCACGCTGAAACACGGTTAAAATGGTAAATTTTAGGTTATGTGCATTCCACCTGCAGTTCAGTCATTCCACATCCTCTCCACAATCCAAACTTCTGTGGCCCACACCTAGATCAAGTATGAAATCCATAGCATATAGCCAAGTGGGTGCCTGTAATCCCAGAACTCTAGGAGGCTGAGATAGGAGGATCTCAAGTTCAAGCCCAGCTTAGTGACTTAGTAAGACCCGATCCCCCAGAAAAAAAACATTGAAAAGGGACTAGCCATGCAGATCACTGCAAAGGCCCTGGGGTTCAATCCTTACCACCAGCCAAACAGTGCATACATACTTACATAAAATCCATGGTCTAAAGGTTGTCAGAAATCATTAAATATCTGCAAAATTACTTGGACTGTGCTAGAAGATGGAATGTTTGTGTTGCTGTAAGATGATGATACAGGATGTGGGGTCTTCGGGGGTCCTGAGGGCATCCCCTCTAGGAATGAGATTAGGGCCTTACTGAAAGACCTCAGGGAGCCACCTATCCCTTCCTCCCCCAGAGAACACAGCAAGCTGTCCTTTACAACCCAGGAAGCCAACCCTTGCCTGACACCAAATGCGCCACTGCTTTGCCATAGGTCTCCCAATCTCCAGAACCCCCAAAGGTAAAGTTCTGCTGTCTTAAGCTACCCGAGCTCTGGTCCTCTGTGGACCAAGACGAGAAGCTGTCTGAGGGTGGAACAGTGACTGCTCCAACACAGCCTGTCACAGGCAGCTCACACGCGCTCAAACACCTGTCAGATGAACAGGCCTGACCTCACGCTGTCCCCACTGTGACATGTGACAGTCCCGTCCTCAGGGGCATGACTGGTGCCAAGACCCCAGGCAACACAGCCCCTCCCGTGAAAGGGGGAGACATCACTGTCAGCAAGGAGCTTGTGCTCTGCAAAGCAGCCCCATTCCTCAGAGGTGGCCTTAATGTTTACCAACATCCAAGGGCAGGTGCCAAGTGCATGCCACTCTGCACAGGGATGTTAAGATTTTCCA